AGATGAAAAGCTGCTAAATGAGTTTGCCTTGGCTGACGAATCCGCCAATGGTACTCTGGACACTCTTAAACTTCATGGACATTTGACAGACCAAGATACCTCTAAATATCAAGTGGAATTTAAGGGGCTCCTAAGCGTAGTTGTCGTGCATGAAAACCACTGAGCTTTCTTTAAAGGGAAATTTTATATTAATTTCTTTTGTATGAATGAAAGGGGGTATTTTGAGATTTATATAGTAATAAAGCAAAGACTTTGTATTTGTTTACTTGTGAAGCCGACATATAAAAGAGAACAGATGGAGGTGCCCTTGTTCTTTATCTCATTGTTTTTCACAACACAGATTTACCACGATACTGAGATGTGACGGATGGTTATATAGTGAATACAATATCCAACTTACAATTGGCGAAAAAAAAAACTAGATCTATTGAAGGATTTGCATTATGTATATCCAGCAAGGAAGAAATTATTGATAATCTTTATCACAAGGAGTATATTATAGATAATACGGTGGACAACTATGAGATAGATGTTGACGAGGATGAACTCAATCACAGTGGCATATACGATAAATGGGCCATAGAAAGTAGTGATATTTCGCCAAGCCCTTTTGTGAGATTACTGTGAATGTAATTAGCTTTTACAGCATCATTAAACATGAATAGTAAACTTTTCGCTTAATCCCTAATAGATATAAGAATTTAAATAGAATGCCGATATAGTATTTTTCCAGTTTATAATGAAATATCTCGGGGCGGTTACACTTTGTGTAGCATGGGTTTGTATAGCAGCAGAAAACAAGGGAGAAATAATAGTATTTGGAGATGATTTAGGAGATACAGGGAACTTGCAAAAGGCCACAAACAGCACCATCGGCTACAATGAGGGGCGGCTAACAAACGGACCTACATTCGTCGAATACATGGCAACCGCATTAGAGCGACAGCTTCAAAGCTACGCCTATGCCAACTCCACCATAAACGAGCAAACCCCTTCCGCACTCAATGACTTTAAAATCCCGACACTTGAAGAGCAAGTAATAGAGTTTACCGAAGGTAAGCGCGACTGGATTCGCCGCAAATCAGGAGTCCGCAACAGCATAGCGGTAATAACTGCAGCTACCACTGATCTGATCAAAAGCCATTTTTGGACTCTATCAGAAGCAGACCGCCAAATATCTGCGCAAAATATGGTGGAGGGGGTGTTTAGCCAGGTGAGGGCACTGGATAAGCTGAGATTTGAGGGTATTGCGGTGACGAATATCCCGGCACTCTACATTATGCCTCGCTGGCGGCTACTGGCGTCGGTGGATGTTTTACGCAACTTTATAGCTCTTATCAACCGATTATTTCGACAGTCACTGGTTGACCATGAGAGAACATTGAAAGACACCAAGCTATGGCTACTCGACACCGAGTCCTTTCTGCTGGTCACAGCAAACAACACGTTTGCCAAGTCCATCGGGGCCCAAAACACCACCTGCTCATGCATAGCTGAGCAAGGAAGCTGTACGGATCCTGCCGACTACATATTCTACGATGATATGCATATGGATGTACGGCTGAATCACTTGCTGGGCTTGGCGGCAGCGAATCTGGTCAATGGTGGAGACGTTCAGTATAATGCCACATATTTCCGTAAATTGGCCAAGGAATATGAAATTGGTGTGCTGTACCATACGACAGCTACCGCCACCCAGGAAACCTATACGGGTACTGATATTCGGCCGAGCACCACGGCAGCTGATCCCTTGCTTACCAGCACCCAGTCCACGGCAGCCAATTGCTCGCTTACCGCAATATGCACAACAGTAACCGACTCGGTAGCCACAAGGCCGAAATTGCCAAATATCGGAGTTATAAGCCTTTTGTTAGCAATTTCAATATAGCATTCTTCGGAAATGTCTCGGGGAGAAATATCTTGGCTCCCCCGCATGTATTACGACTATTTAGATTGCGGAGAGACCATCTGCCGAATTCCGCAGCCATATGTAATAACTCTTGTAGAAAAGAGTATATGCCTTTGTAAAAACCAAAGATCCATAGCCTTGGGGCTCCACTATCCACAATGACAAAGGTAGAAAATGCGCAGCCATGTTTAGAGACTTTTGGAGCTCTATACTGCGGGCAAAGCATGAAAGGCTGCAAAAAAGGTGGCTAGTGAAGAGCAAAAAAGATGCAGAAGTCTTGTACAAAAGGTGACCTTTGTAGCAAAGAGGCAGAGCTGTCAGCTGGCTTAAAACATGTGTAGAGGTGTAGAGGTGTGGAAACCACATGAAATGAGTAGACACGGCCGATTGCCACGGTATTTGCGGAAAACTTTTTTTTTGGGTGGCTATAAAAAGACTTACGCGCGCCACTCGGCAATTTTTTTTAGTTTTATTTCAATCCTACCCTTTTTTTTTCCTTGGCTGCGCTTTTTTCACTCTTATCATTATCGGTTTTTTTTTTTTTTTGCAAGTTTTAAACCTACGCATTAAGCTCTTGCACCCTTTCTTATTCCCCAACCAGTTCTTCAAGTCTTCTACCCCCAACACAATCCCGAATTACAAATTTATTTTTCCCATCTTAAACATTAAAGCTGGACTTTTCGTGGAGCCAAATGAATTTTTCGTTTGCGTCGGCGCCAACGACACCGTTTATACCGCAAGTGGATGGGCGAGCAGCAACGGGGGCGCAGTTTCTGTCGCCAGGCACGGTGGTAGCGCCCATGAGTGCTACAGCAGGCAGCACAAGCATGTCGCGTGCAACAGACCCGCTCCACGACCTGGGCTCTCCGGCAGCTCTGCAGTACCTGTTTGCACTCAACAATAGCCCGCTACTGAACGACCCAATGTCGTCACCAGCAGTCAACGCGATGGCAATGGCGCCAAAGTACACACAACCAGTGGCAGGACCCGCCAGAACCGGCCACATACAGGCGCCACCGGCTCTAATAGTGACATCGTCGCCGGCAACAACGGGAGCGCTTATGGCAGTACCCACGACATTGGCGCACGGGCCAGGCACGTCCAGCAAGCCGGTGTCGCCGGCAATGGACAATCAGCCGCCAGGGTTTTTCCGGCCGTCAGAAGTATTCAAAACGCCCGAAATCCGCACACTGCCGGACCCGCAAGTAGAGGAGAGGACGCCTGAGCTGCCCATGTTTGACGATGTCGAGGCACTAGGCACTTCTACAGCGCTGAACGCATTGAGTCCGCGGACTCAGACGGCCCAGGCAGGACTGTCGCTGCTGGCGGCATCGGCAACATATGCACGGAACTCGGGAGCTCTGACGCCTGATATGGCGATAAGCCCACAGCAACAGCAGCAGCAGCAAGCCAACTCGCTTGGCTCGCAGTCACCTTTGGCTTCTGACACGCAGGTCACTGCCCCGTATGGCGCAGCATTCCTGAATGCTAACGGCGACGACCCGACGCTGATGTCGCAGCCGCACAACAGCCTGGTGCAGAACCTGTCCCCTAGCATGGACGCCCGCCATGCTCCACTATCCCGGGCATTGCCTGCAACCAGCGGGCCGCTTCAAGCCGGGCTTCCGGCAAACCCAGCATCCATGCAGACCCTTACCGCAGCCACCGGCCGCCTTACACGTAACCGCAGCCTATTGCGGCAGTCTTCGGGTCTATCCAATGCCAGCTTCTATAATGACCTGGTTCCCCAAGCTACCGAGTCCTTTTTTGCACCATTGGATGAAGTATGCTCCGACAATGAGCAACCACAGCAGCAGCAGCGGCAGCAGCTTCAGATACCACAAGCGCAAGTGCCGCCCATGGGCAGCCAGTTCTCTCCGATAATGTCACAGTCCACTGCAACTACCACGCAAAGAGTTGGCTCGGCATCGCCAATGTTTCTTTCCGCACACTCCTCCCTCTCCCCCCTAATGCAACCCGTTGCCCCGCACACGGCCATACCGAGCCCTGCATCAACCAACCATATGCCGGGTTCGATATTTGCCCAGATGCCGCTAATCTCTCCATCCAAAGAATCAGCTAGCATGGAAACAAAGCGGCGACGTACCGGCACGCCTCATAAGCGCGACCAGCAACGCCGTTTCAACTGCGACTTGTGTGACCGGTCGTTTGCTCGACAATACAATCTCAAAACCCACCGGCTCACACATTTCCCCAACTCTGACGAGTCTCGACCGTATAAATGTTCGAGCTGCACCAAGGCGTTTACGCGTCGCCATGACCTGCATAGACATGAAGCCCTGCATAATAGGAAAGGCAAGCATATTTGTGATCGGTGTGGTGGTGGCTTTCCTCGTAAAGATTCTTTACGTACTCATCAAAAAACAGAGTGCTCTCAGTAGTTTGCATTCTTTTTGCTACAATTGTTTATTTTATATATTTAGTGCTGTTACAAAATGGGCCGGCGTATCGTGGAACGCCGCAGAGGACTGTAGCTATTTATACTTTAAGAAAAACTGCTATTTTAAAGTAAGGAGACGGCTAAGGAACTGCCGAGTTGTTTAAATAGGCAGAGTGCCCAGGCGTCGCAGTGTAATTGTGAATGCTCCATCACAATAAAACGCACTGTATCCAGTAGGGGTTACCAGCTATTGCATCAAAAACTGTCACCGAATCACAGGAGATTGAAAGATTGTTTAAACTGTATATAAATATATAACGAGATAACACTATGAGGAATTATCAAAGGCTCCGAAAACCACAGCCCTTAAATAGTTCACTTCCATCAGGACACTTCCTGGATATCGTTATGACAAGATGCAACAATTATTGCGAATGTCAGCATTGAAGGCCTGTCAGGAAGGAATCGACAACGCATTATAACAATATTGAATGTCATATGACATTCAATAATCCAGCCGTCGTGACAAATCTCCCTATTACCGATAATAAAAATTCTGCTGATCAAAAAGCTGATCTTGTGATGCAGCTAGCAGCTAGCAGCATCGCTGGCAAAATATCCTCCAAGCGCGTTTGTTGTCAAATATAGTTCAACATGCGTAAAAAAGCACATAGCAAGAAAAAAAGAGCGCGCCCCAAGTGGGGGTCGAACCCACGACATTTCGGTTAAAAGCCGAACGCTCTAGACCAAACTGAGCTATTGGGGCTGGATATTGAACCAGATTCAATCTAGGTTTTCCACAATTTACTTTGGTAGTTTTTATCTTTCTATATAATCCAGAGGCTGCCTTTACTACAAAAGGCGATGATATTTTTTGCAGTCAATAGAATATAAAAAATTATTATAGAGAAGAAAGCAATCACAGCATGCCAATATTGGTTGTATTATTGCAATCAAATGTGAAGCATGGCGATCCTTCGAGCTTAAAAGTAGCCCAAACACTAATTAAACCTTTAATACTATATTTATTACAGTTATCCTGCTAACCCAAAACAAGAATTATATAACCAGTACTTTTATATGGCAGATACTTCCTTCTAGGTACATTATCTTCTATTTTCTTCGACATCCGTTCTATTGGACATGCATTTCTTACAGTAATATTGTCCATTAGACATTTGTAAGCCGTTAGTAGCAGAACATACAGAGCATTTGTTTGATTGAGCAGGCATTTTTAGATGAATCACTTGTTTAATGATAGGTTTTTAGCAGAAAACATTTTCCTTTGATAATAGACTTGTATGTCCAAAAAATGCCTTGACTTCTACTGCCCATATGCCATCTTTACCCAACATAAATACATCATTCCTTTAAACAAAAGCACTTTGGCTTTGTGTTTGCATTGCCCAACAAAAATGCTGCTTTCCTTTTTAATTAAAGAGGTTATATTGATTAGCAAGCTTGTTAATAAATAATTAAATATTAGAGCGGTTCAGCTTCCTGCCCAAGCGAGAGAACACAGCTATCTGGCGAATCATGCTTTTCATCAGGCTCAAAGCGAGAAGTAGCAGCAGTTGGCGGAGTCATTTCGTCCTGATTGCGCACTGCATTGAGATACAATGCAACCGGGTCGTATGGTGTACCATCAAGTGTCAAGCCCAGCTGTACTCGTCGCCGCTGACACATCTCTGGGGTATCTGCATCCCGATGGCGTCCTACTTCTACTGGAAACTCGATCCGCAAAAGCCGGCCCTTCTTTGTCACATGCCAGTACCAGAACCAGGCCACCGTGTACCAAGCGCCAGGAGCAATATACCAAGCCAACAGCACGTCTATCGTGTAGTGAGCGCGGTTGGCAATCACTATAAGCGAACCGGCAATGCACAGACCCCAGGCACAAGTCGTGAGCACCCGGCCAACCAGGTTTTTGGGCGCAAACGATGTCCACACCATGGCACACACAACAAATATCAGCGTGTGTCCAGAGTATATTGCATCGCCACAGCGGTGCAACGAGAAGGCAGTAAACACGTTGCCTTCAACATACTGGCACGATGGCCGTGGATCTGGCACCGATGTAATTGCCACGGTGGTAATTCTGATCAGCGATGCCAGTCCCCACGCGAGCAGCAACCGACTGACTACACGCCAGGGTCGCTCGTGTGATATTACCAGCAGAGCGGTAGGCACAAACATCAGTGCGTCAAACATGTCGGTAAGCCACAGCAGCTCAATAAACCCAATAAAGCCGAAAAACACATCAGGCAATGTGTACCGCGAGCCAAGATCGTCCTCAATCAGCTTGCTCCGCTGCGACGCGACGTTGGCCATCACGTTCATAAAATAGTACGAGAGTCCAAACACCAGCCCCGTCACGACAAGAAAGCAGATGCACTTGCGGTCTAGCCACCAGTTGCGCCGTATACGACGCCAAACTAGAGCAACTACGCGCTGGCCCAACCCCCACGCCCGTATAGGAAGTAGCTTGGGCATAATAAAAGTATCTATAACGAAAATAAAGGTAAAGAAAGGCTTGTTTTTCTGGAACGCCACTAGGCCTGCTTGCCGAACAATGTGTTTCATATATTTAATCTGGACACTTTAAAGTTTCAAAGTCAGGCCTACGGCAGAGCCAGTAAGGCTAAGCCATGCACCCATATAGTTTGAAGCATCAATGGGCACGCCGACTGCGCGCAGTAGCGTCGCAGTATGGCATGGATGAAGGTACACGAATGGCTCATTGAGTACCGGGTGGTCCTGTATTCCCAGAGCTCCGCCAAACTCCACTGCCTCAATCGCTCCACGCATCTGCTGATCTGCCACCAGTAATTTGGTGACTTGCTCAATGTCCAGAACCACCTGGGACTGATCTGACAAAAGAACCCGCATATACAGGACCGGGACCCGCCATGACGCAGAGTACACTACATGGTATTCAACCTGGCCACAGGCAGTTCTAGTATCTCCAGGCACATCGGCTGCCAGTGCCTCTATCGGATCAGGATCTTCTACTTCATCGATCTCGTCTATTTCTTCATCACCATCAGACTCATCAGGCAGAAACAACGACTTGTAAATTCGCAGAAATTGCTGCTGTTTGCAAGTGTCACGACGTATCTCAATAATACTCCCAAACTGCTCCTCAAAGTGGTCGATGCTGCGAAGGAATTCAGTGCGTGTCAAAAAGGGAAATTCGCCTAGCTCATCCATACCAGAAAGAAAAAAGATGGCTTGGCGAGCCGCCGGCTCACAATTCGCTGGCTCACAAGCACTTCACGTGATTTGATTTGGCATTTAGAAATGGTTTTTATCCAAAATGCAGATTCAAGCGGCTGCCACAGCTTGATCGTCCTTTTCTCATCGCAGCGCTGACTAAAAGGTGCGTACTATAATATATGTATTTTTCAACGCGTACATCCATTCGAACGAACAAAGATGCGACAGAATATTCAACGGCAACAGCAGCAGCAATAACACAAACAAATATGACAGAGCGACGAATCCAACACTGCAGCGAATGGATGCGCATTTTTTTAAAAAAAACCTTCTCTTGAACACCAGAGAGAGATGCAACTAACAACTAATACCTTGTGTAGGAAATTTCTCCGTTAGAATACGCAATTTAAAAAAGATGGCCACCACGCACATTCAGAAGCGCGAGGGCGAATTGCCCACTGAGACCGAGCTCTTGGTCGACCGTGCCCTGCAGGATCTTGAGGCGCACTCGCCCGAGCTGAAGAAGGACCTGCGTCCGATTCAAATCACATCGGTGAAGGAAGTCGAGGTATCGGCTGGCCGCAAGGCCATTGTGATCTTTGTGCCAGTGCCCCTGCTCAAGGAGGTGCACAAGGTGCAGCAGCGCGTTACTCGCGAGCTGGAGAAGAAGTTCTCGGACCGCCAGGTGCTGTTCATTGCCCAGCGCCGCATTCTCAGAAAGCCCGCCCGTATCAACCGCGCCAAGCAGCCCCGCCCCATGTCGCGCACGCAGGCTGTTGTGCACGATAAGATTCTGGATGATCTGGTGTACCCCACCGAGATTGTTGGCAAGCGCACCCGCGTCAAGGTTGATGGCTCCAGAACCATCAAGGTCTTTTTGGACTCCAAGGATGCCACCAGCCTCGAGTACAAGCTGGACACCTTCTCGGCTGTCTACAAGCGTATGACTGGCAAGGATGTTGTGTTTGAGTTCCCCGCCGAGCACGCCTACTAACTTTCCCTCTTTTGTTTAGCTAAAAAATATTAAAGCAGCTCAATTTGTTATTTTTAAATGTCCAATGGTCAGGCGCAGACTGCATCGACGATATTCCGTAGCATATGGAAGAGCAACCGACCACTGCAAGTAGACAAATTCACCCAGCAACAGCTGCTGCCGCTCTCTTGGCGAGACCTGGGGCTGCTGCTGGTCCAGCTGGTGCAACCCTTAGAACACATACACGACAATATTAACCAGATCGCATCATGCATTCGCTGTCTCGTAGCGCTGGCGGGAACGATATCCCATATGCAGGCGGTGCAGTCACCCGTGTCTCCAGTCGACCCGTCATTTGTTACCAGGACGTTCTCCGCCATGGTACAGGCTACTTTCGTTATTATAAGCGAGCAGAATGCTTCTAAAGAGGCTGCAGTTTCAGCCGCGCTCAAATGCATATCGCAGATTCTGAAAGCACCTACACCAAAGTTCGCCACTGATTCGGTGCTTGATGGACTAGCAGTGAGTCAAAGGCCTGCTAAACGGCGCCGTATCGAAAATGAGCCGCAGCAAGGTTTTGTAGAGCTGCTGGCCCGTATATTGCAGACAAAGTCCCTCGATAGGACGCACCGGTATGTTGTTCGGATCCTACGGGCCCAAAACGGCGCAGTTATTAAGCAGGAGCTTAACTGCTCAGCGTCCATTATGCGGTTAGTAGATGCGCTGGCAGCCGAGGGCTATTCGCTGTGTAATTCCGATATCAAAACAGCTAGCGAGGCATATGTAGGCGACGTATTCGCCAGCATTCGCGATCTGGCAAGCATGCTTCCGGCTGTGCCTCAATACGTAGAAACAGTAGCGCAGTTATCGCTTGTGCTATCTCGGCAGTTTCGCCCCTTTGTCGTAGATTCGGATTGCCGCCCCCTGTATGCGTTTTGCGCTGAAAAGCGGCACCGCTGTTACCAGTGGGCCGCCTTGTGTCGAATCAGCACCTGGATCTCTGGCTGGAAGCAGCATAAAGTGGTCATGGAAGCTCTGGCTGAATGCAGCCGGCTATGCTGGATACAAGTAACTGACACGGCTGCTGCGGATTTGCAAATATGGAGCCTATTGCTCTGCGAATCCCTATGCCACCTTGCTCTGGACAATACGCCGCTGTTTATGGCATCTCAAGAAGCACAAGTGCTGGTATTTGCTGCCATGGCGCCCTTGCTTACACGCATCTCGCAGGCTATTCCTGATCTTGCAAGTCAAAAGGTGTGTCGGCCGCTTCTGCTTACCAGCCTGCGTGTTTGTGAGCGGCTTCTGCTACAAATTCCAGCTCAAGCAGCATCTCTTGGCCTATTTCGTTCGGCCACGCAATGCATGGATGTGGTTCGTGAAGAGGGAGCATTCCAACAGCTACAATGCTCAATCAGCTCATATGTATTTCGGCCCACGCTTATTCCTCCAGCCAGCGCTCTTGAGCCATCATCCGAAAACATGCTTCCTAACCCATATGCCGAACAAGAGCGAGAGGATTCCGAAGAAGTGGACCGTGAAGCAATGCTGGGCGGGATTTTTGCTTCCTTTGTTTC